GTCATACATACACATATATCCATTCTCCCCTAAATCCTCCTCCCATCCAGGCTACCACGTAACACTGATCAGAGTTCCATGTGTTATATAGTAGGTCCTTGAATACTATAGTAGGTTAATGATTAGAAAGGTTAAAAAAAAAAAGCCCCTTTATGTAATTTCTGAATAGAAAGTAACAGTGTAATGTCTGTTAACAATTCAAAAGCATCAAGTTTTGACGGAGGAATTTAAAACTGATATCTAAAATTATATTTTTTGACTAGGCATTCATTTTGCATGGTTCAAAATTCAAAATATACAAAAAATATATATAGTAAAAAGCTGACTTTCTACCTCTGTTCCCCAGCTATCAGGTTTTCCTTCCTAAGGGCAACTAACGTTTTTCACTTCCTGGCTATGCTTCTAGAGGTATGTTCTAAATATGCAGATGTGTTGCTTTTAAACTCCTTTAGGTTTTAAAAACATATTCTTTTGAGATGATTATGTGTTCACATGCAGTTATAGGAGAGGATACAGAGAGATCCATATGCCCCTTACCCAGTTTTCCCCATTGGTAATTTACACTAGAGTACTATATAGTACTATACCATAGCTCAACAGCACAACCAGGATATAGAACATTTACTCTCCCCCAGGGTGGCCTCTGGGCTCCAGAAACCCTGCCTTCTCCCTTTGTTTCTCCAGTTAAGCTGTAGTTGCTAATTTCTGGACTACCTCATTAACCACCTTTAGTGTCTTGAGTTCTTGCATCAGTGGTCTTTGTTTGTAAAAATCTGAAGTAGCCTCTATCTTCCAGGCTAGCCTCTGCCTGAAACAAGGTGGTGCCGTGGCATTTCTTGCACACCTGGCTTTGTAGTTTCTGCTTCACACCCACTGTGCTGTTATCAAATAGTCACATAGCTCTCCTGAGCTCTCAAACGGACTGCTAGGCAATGCTATTTACACCGATGTATACTCCTTCCCAGATAACCATCGTTTGTTTTTTCCCGGTCTCACCCTGCACCTTGTAGAATCTAAGTTCCTGGACCAGGGATCGAACCCCGGGAGTCCTAACCACTGGACGAGCCAGGGAATTCCTGACAACTATCATTTTAAAGTAATTTTTGGGGAAGGAGCATTGAGGCAAAGATACAACTTACAAAAGGGGCATTCGAGATGGAGTATCTGACCCTGCAGGTTCAGAAGGCCTTTCAGAACACAAGGTTAATCTTCATTTGCACCCAATTTTTTTTATTAGCATCTCATTTTTCATTATAGATTGAACAGATCATCACAGAACATAGGAAACCTCAGTTTTGAGCCTTACCCCCCACCCAAGATACCCCCTTCAGTCACAGCCCTCACAAGCCACGATTGATCTGAATTAAGACAGTACCCAGTCCCAGGCTTAGGTGCCACAGACACATCAGCGAGTGCATGCGTGTGTGTTCAGTTCTATCTGACTCTGCGACCCTATGGACTGTAGCCCGCCAGACTCCTTTGTCCGTGGAATTTTCCAGGGAATACTGGAGAGGATCTTCCAAACTCAGGGATCCTGTGTCTCCTGCATTGGCAGGCGGATTCTTTACCACTGCGCCACCTGGGACACCCACATCAACAAGGACCCGCACATAAAGCTATGATCAGCCTTTAACTGCCTGGTGAATTGGTTTACTGGGTGTGGGACACTCAAGAGCCCACTGAAGTTTCGACTGAGTGGAGTCAGGGCTAGGGTGAGGGAATGGAGTGCCGCCAGGGAGGGAGGCAATTTGGACACAACGCCCTCTCAAGCCGGCTAGCCTTGAGCCTAATAAAATTAAGGGCAAATCAGAACTTTACCGCTCCGGCCAAAGAACATTGCCAACCTTCCAGAGCAAAGGGCAAGAACAAGGCATTCTTCTGAAAAGGTTACAAGATCTCAGACAGAACAAAATGAAAGTAAGTTTCTGAATATAAAATATACTATGTCTTGTAGGTGATTTTATGAGAATGATCATGGGAACAATACACTACTGTGTCAAATATTATAATCTGAAATAGTGTTTGGTGTTCTCCTACAGTACTGATGAAAGAAATGTCCGTACATTTATTTGTTTATTCAATGCATGTTATGTCATGCCAGGTTCTGTATTTGAGAAATTATACATAATTTGTGTCAGAAAGAAAATAATTTATATTTTCCTAAAATTGTTCTATGATCTTCCCATAGGTATTTTAGGGCACATAAACTAGTAAGAGGGCTTCCCAGGTGGCGCTAGTGGTTAGGACCCCACCTCCCAAAGCAGGAAATGAAAGAGGTCAGGGTTCGGTCCCTGGGTCCAGAAGATCCCCTGGAGGAGAGCATGGCAACCCTTCCAGTATTCTTGCCTGGAGAATCTCATGGACAGAGGAGCCTGGCAACTTACAGTCCATAGGGTTGCACAGTCGGACCCAACTGAAGTGACTTAGTATCAGCACAGGCAAGGTAGTATAAAACGTCTTCTAGCTGAGGAGCCAGCTAGAGCCGGCGGGCTCTAGCTGCAGACATCACTGTTGAAATAAGGGTTTTCAGATTTGTCTTATCATTCCAGGGGCACATATAGATTTTGGAACAAGTTTGAATCAACATTTGTTTAAATTTGTATTAATTTACACCAAGATTATGCTTTTTATGTGCAGATAAGACATTTTGTTAAAAAAAAAAAAAAGGAAGAAAACAAAAAACGACAACAAGAAGCTCTCTTGGATTGAGACCGAAACGCAAATTAGCAACACTTACAAACAATTCTGGGGTTCCACGGCTTGGGTTCAAACCCGGCTCTGCAACGAGCTCTTGTGTGTGTGACCTTGAGAAAATTACTCACATTTTCTGCATCTTTAAAATGCAGCTCATAATTAATCGGTCACTTCTCTTACAGAATTGTGGACTCTCAGTCAGAAAATGCATGCAAAAAGGCCTGGCACGTAGTGAGAGCGAAATGAATGTCAGCAACTACTCTGAGTCTATTAACTAGTTTGATAGAGGAGATGCACAAGCCTTGGGAATAGGAAAGATCACAGGAGAGCATTTATTACAAGCATGGAGCACATCAAGTCTGAAGATGCGAAGAGCGGCTCATCCAGTGAGAATCTGAATTTGCCCCTCGTCCCCACATTCACCAGATAGTCAGCAATTTCCCCAGGTTGACCCTACAGTCTGTCGTTCCACGGGTTTCTCCCAGTTCTTCTCTAGTTCTGCTCAGCGCCGCGTCCTCAAAGCGGAGACTCAGGACGAACACCGCCTGAAGTGGGGCGACTTGCGCCTCGCCAGGCCTGCGAGGGGGGAGCTCTTGCATCCTCGTGCCGGGTCTGGGCCGGGCAGGGGGGTGTGGGGACGCCCCCTCCCCCTCAGCCCCCCAGGGCCCCCCCGCCACCCGGAGCCCCCCTCCCCCTCTCAGCCCCCCTCGGCCGCCCCAGCCCGCCCCTCCCCCTCTTAGACCCCCTCAACCGCCCCCCTGAGCCCCCCGCCACTCTAAGCCCCCTCCCCCTCTCAGACCCCGTCAGCTGCCCCCCTCCCCCTGAGCCGCCCCCTCAACCCCGCCTCAGGCCCCGCAGCCCTCCCCCCCCAGCGCCCCCCGCCCCTCTTAGCCCCCCTCAGCCGCCCCCCCAGGCGCCCCCACTCAGCCCGCCGCATCCCTCGGCCGCCCCCCCTACGAGCGCCTGAGCGCCTTTCCCGCCCGGGTCCGCCCTTCCTCAGGGCGTGAGAGCCGGGCGCGGGAGGCGGGCTCGGCGCTGACGGGGCTGCGCCTCTGCGGCCTGAGGGAGGAGGGCGGGAAGGCGGCGGCGGCGGCGGGGAGGAGGCGGGGACTGCGCCGGGCGGCAGCTGGCGCCGAGCGCGCCGGGAGCGCGGAGAGGCAGCGGCAGGCTCGAACCGGCTGCCTCAGCGCCGCAGCCCCGCGCCTCTGCCGCCCGCCTCGCGGTCTCCGCGGCCCCGGGCACGACGGAGACGGCGAAGCTGGGGCCGCTGGTAGGTTGCGCGGGGCCGGCGCCTCCTGCAGCCTTTTGTGCTGCGGCAAAGGGAGCCGTGGAGACGGGCGGGTGGCGGGGCGGGGGACGGCGGGGGAGGCTGCCTCAGCCCTGGCTGCTCAGCGCCCGGCGGCGGCGCCGCCCCCTTCCTTCCGCCTCGTGCCCGGGGCCGGGCGGCCTCCGCGGTGGGCGCCGCCCTGGCCTCGGCGGTCGGGCCCCTGCCCCGCTCCCCGGCTCCCGAGCAGGGGGCTGGGGGCTGCTGTGCGGGGCGCGGGGCCCCGGCGGGGTGCCGGGAGCCCGCCGTTCCTGGGCCCCGGGGTGGGGTCGGCGACGCGGCGAGGGGCCGCGCGTGTGAGGAGGGCGCGGCGGCGGCGGCGTGCGCCCGGGTGCGCGCGGCGTGCGCCCGGCGGGGAGGTGCGGGGCGCCGGTGGGCGCCGCCGCCGTGCGGGCCCCAGGGGTCGGCGGGCCCCAGGGGTCGGCGGGCCCCGGGACCCCGGGGAGAAGCAGCGCCCTTCCCGGGCCTGCCGCGCCTCTGGCCGCTCGCCCGGGCCGCGCGCAGGGTGCGACTGCCCGGGCCAGATAGCGCCTCGGGGCGAGCCCGGGGGCCTTATCTCGCCTGCCCGCCTCGCCCGCTTGCCCGCTCTGCGGTCTGAGGGGGGCTCGGGGGTGGCGAGGCCGCCCGGGAGCCGGGGCGGCGCGGGGCTCGCGTGGGGACCGGGAGCGCACGCGGCAGACGGCGCTGGGCATCGCTGCCCTCGCCCCACCTGTCGCCTTTGGGCCCGGCGGGAAGCGGAGGGAAGGGTTTCCCGGGCGGGCGGCAGTCAGACCTTGAGGTGGCGGGCCCCATTGTGAAGCTGCCAAACTCTCTAGTGGTGGAATCTGCGCATCTCTGCCGGGGAGGAGATGGGGAGCGCGGCAGGGACGAGGGCCGCGGCGCCGGCCCCTTGCAGGTGTTCGCATCCTCAGGGGCTGGGTGCTGCTCCGGCCGGGCCGGTTGGCACCCGGGTAGGTTACCGATTGATTTCTGTCGAGCCGAGATGCTCGAGTTGTGTCTGTGGTCCGACTGGGGCGCTCAGGTAGAACTGGGGCTGGGAACTTTCTCATCATTCGAGGAAAGAGAAAGAATGCAGGCATTTTATCGTGTGCTTGCTACTCCTAGCCGAAAGAGCAGTGTCTTGCCCAACGATTCTGACGCTTCTAGACTCTTCATTTTGCATTGTTTTTCTCAGAGAAGCCACACTGCAGTTGAGAGTTGTAAGTTGCCTAATTATTATTATTATTTTTAAAAACCCTGTGGAGCAGATTAGACGCTAGGGAGATAGAAATGACCTCTTCCCCAAGTTTATTTTCGCAGTCGTTTCAAAATACAGTGTTGGTTATTATGGTGAAGCTTTTTGGTACTTTCTTAATTCAAGATCGTGATTTATGCTTACGCAATTACACTTCATGAATATTTGACAGATTTCTCAGTGTTTTCATTATGTAACTGTACATGCATTATAGACTTAATAAAATGACCAGGGTGAAATACAAGGATTAACAAGCTCAAAAGACCTCTTGATTTGATGAGAACTGTTTAGAATATGCTTCTGCTTGCGTTATTTAAGTGTAAATGAGATTGTTTAGTAGTAATTCTTCCAGGATGTAAGAAAGAAGGTGTTTATTGACCTTATATAATGGTCAGTGATTTTGTTTACTTTCTGTGTATCATTTTGTATACTTTGGAGAGCTAGTGGGCACATTAACCCTTAAAAGTATTTAGTGTTGTGGGAGTAACACAACGTTACATACGGGATTTTTTTTTTTTTTTCTGATTTATATTCTCTGGGGGGGAAATCAGTTTTTCCTCCAGAGAGAGCTCTGATTTCGTCATATTCCTATCAAGATACGTTCTTGGTTTTAAGCTTTCATTTGGAACGTTAGGCAATTCCATAGTGTACACCTGTCCCAATTCAGTTATGTTTCCTGAAGGGGAAATTTCTTGTAAAGACTGCATGTAGACCTATAGTTCGGTTACTGTCAGTCATATTTGTAGTGAAACTGAATTCTAAAAGTAGAAGGATGATTTCACATAATGATAACACACTGGTAATCTAGCTTTGATTTCTACTAGTAGAAATAAAATGAAAATGAATGCTGCCTTTTAAGGAATTTGCTATTAAAAGAACTGATATTAGAAAGAGAAACACATATTTTTCTTTCTGAACCAATTATGGGTTGTCTGTCTAGTTTGGTGTGGTTAATGATTTGTTTGTAAGGTCAAGGATGGTTTCAGAAAAGTCACACCCTACTTTAACAACTCTTCTTAAAAATTATTGATGATTTAGTTTTTATAAGTTGCAAAGAGAAAAGTAAGATTATTTTAAAGTAAGCTTTAAGATGAACATAGCTAACCGTTTTATTTTCATTGTATTGTGCTTAGGCAGTTAAGCCATTTTATTTCTGCACAGTGTTTTGTTACTTTTAAAGTTGCTTTATTTTTTTTGCCAAGTCCTGTTCATTATTGATCTCTCCTCAAATAGCCACTCTGAGGGAACTGCCTGCTTCCATTTTTTTTCTCTTCCTGTTTTGGGAGCAGAATTAGAACCAATGACTTCTCTACCAGTTTTCTTTGCCTAAAATTTATCTTGCTTTCATAATGTAATCTTTAATGATTTGTGAGATTTATTTACCAAAATTCATGAAGGCTATATGCTGGCCTTGATATTTACAACCTTATGATGTTTAGAAGTTATATTCTGTTAAATTTTTTCATATTGCTATTTTGTTTATAGATCTATGGTGAAGTCTGAGATTTGTGGCTTTTCTGTGTGTAGGAATTTTGTGTGGCCTTGAAAATTTCCATTTGGAGCTTTTATATTTTTGGGAAAATCACTCCCTTCTTTAGGTTCACAGTGCCGTTCAAGTTTATTGTTACGTGTATTAGATTTATATATTTCCATGTTTGTCTGTCCTCCCCTCTTGTTTCAGGTTTCACTTTTTATTCTTGCACCAGCACCTGTACAATGCTGGCACACAGTAAGACCCGAGAAATATTGTTGAGTGAGTAAATGAGTAGTTGAATGGCTGAGTGGATACAACCAAAGAAATAATCTTTGAAACTGTAAGGAAAGCCACTGTGTGAGCAGAAGGGTCTTTCTTTTGTAATTCATTGCCGTTCCATTGTTATATATTACTTTTGAGTAGGATAACAGTATGGTTACCAAACTGGGACACGGTTGAGAGATAAAGGCGGGGGGCTGTGAATAGTTTTGCCAGGGTACCGGCTCTGAACTGAGACATATGGTCAACCCTACTTTTGAAGAACTTGCTTCTTTTTTTCCTGTGATGGTATCTGTCACCTGCCTGAGAAAATTTGACACACTTGCTAGTTTATATTTGCAAACTTCTCTGTTTGTAGAAGCTTCATTTGCAGTCATATGATGGGTGTCTTTTGCTTAGTCACCCTTGACCTAGAGGCCTATGGGTAGCTCTTGGCCAGGCTTGCTTTTTCCTAATTTCATTGCTTACAGGATAACGTCACAGGACTTTCTGTTTGTAGCAACTGCTTATAGCTTGAAGGTTTATATACTCTAACCTTTGCTCTGTTTACTTCCGTTCATTTTTTTATGCAGTGTTTATTCCATCTTGTAAGAATTTCCCATGAGTTCATTTCCCTCTGTCTGTTTTTGAGAGGGGATCCATTAATAACCTTGCCAAAGCTTCATGTTCAAACCATTGGCCGAAATCAATTGCAGGTGTTGAGATTTATAGATTTTTAAGGTATTCTAAAGTGTTATTTTGGAGAACTGTGTTTTGGGGACTTTTGGATTATAGTTTTTTAGTTGTTTCTAATGGGAGATGATAGTAAAATCCTTATTAAATTTTTACTAGGTTCCTTTATAACTAATCTCTTCTAATTAAAAAAAAATTGATTAGAGTGTAGTTGCTTATAGGCAATCTCTTAAAGAAGCTATCTTCTTATACTAGTTTCTGACCTTGTTCTATGTTAGATTCTTTTCCTCTTTTTCATCATCTTCATCATCCTCTTAGCACCTGTGCGTAGATAGCATGCACACACTAAACAGTAAACAGAGTCTGAAATGAGTGAAAAATGGAACAGAGTTCCTGCACCTTGGTTTTGCACTGTGTTGCTCCCTTGGACTCTGTTTGGATTCTATTTTTAGCTTGGCACTGGCTTAATAGGGATAATCAGTTACTACACTTTGTTTACTATGAAATTACCAACCATTTCCTAGACTTCCACATCAGCTCTAGTGCAAGAGTTGGATAATTACTTTAAAGCTCCTCTGCTTTCAAATCCAGAATTAAGTTTTAGGTTGGTTTTCCTTTTGGTCTTGAAAAAATATTGGAAAGTATATTTTCCCAAAGCATTTGAAAGCTTGAAAAGAAGAACCTATCACCAAGAAATATGGTGCACATTATATGAAAGTTTGAGATTTTAGACTGTTTTCTAAAACTACTTGAAATTTGAGCAGTTTTTGATTTTTCTAATGTACCTATTTCTGGGCTTTCAGTGAAGATTTCTAGAAGTCTAACTGAAATCTGTCTTGTTTTGTGATAGATGTAATCCTGAAAAATTAAATGGAGATATCTTTCTGTATGTGGCATCCAGCCACATAACCAGCAAATATTGACTGATACATTTTTTCCTGCCTTGGAATTTTTGACTTAAAAAAAATCTTATAAGCTCTGAGGAGGAAGGGTTCACGATTTAGAATGGTTTTGTATAAGACTCTCATCTATATGCTGTAGAATTCTAACACTTTTCATGTTGAAAATAACCCTAGAGTTAGTAATTAAAGTCACCTCCCTCTAACCCTGTCACAAATGTGGCAATACAGGTTTTAAATAAAATAACCCTCCACATATTTAAAATAGAATTCCACTTAAAGAAATTAATGTACATTTTTCAGGAACACGAGTATTGTGTAAAAAGCTACATACCTGGTCTTATCACTAAACAGAGCCATTATGTATGTAAAGCGATGTCAGTGGGCTTTGGAGCCAGACAAATTGGGGTTTGAATTTTTGCTCTGACTCCTAAATAGTATTACTTGATTAAATATTTTAAAAACAGGGGTAATATTTTCCTGATGCTAGTTTATAGTTGTTAGAGTGATATAAATGGCATATGGTTTTGACTTGTAGAAAGTGCTAAAAAATTTTTTTTTTAAGAATTTCTCTTTGTTTTTAAAAATCCATTTACTTAAATAAGAAGTCAATTTGAACTTTGTAACATTCAGATTGGGGAGATTCTTTAGGCTAATTGTATTAAATAAAAAATTATCGCTAGATAACAATTTTTGTTACATTGTAATTCATTTTATGTCAAAACTAGAGGCTTCATTTGTGAAGCAGACTTAATTATCTAGGTTTCTTGGTTACCCAGTTTGAAAATAGTTTATGGCAAAAAATAAATGAAAGAGAAAGTGTCTGTAAATTAAAGAAGTTCCAAAGGTTGGTAACCATGTTGTTTTCTGGGAATGATAGTTCTGGTAAATACTTTTATTAATTCAGTAATAATCCATTTCCTTTGGGTCAAACTCTTCCCTGCTGATAAGGAAGATAATAAAGGAGCGAATGTTTGGGGGAACAAGTTGCACTGTTGCCACTTCTTCAGGCTTTGTGCACCTAAGTAGGTAAAATGAATCTCCAGCTGATTTGAGCCACCAGGCTCTTAACAAGTTAAATACCACAAAAAACCCAACACCCAAAGAAAGTTTTACAGGTGGAAGAAAGTTTTGAGTTTTCTTTATCTCAAGAAATTAACACAGTTAACTGGGGAGGGAGGAGATAAAGATAGATTTTCTTACACATTTCCTCCCCAGATAAGAGGTGAAAGGCACAGAAACCATGTTAGAAACTTGTCAGCACAGCAGTAACTCTCCACAAGTATTTTTCAGGTTGCTCTCTTTTAAAAAAGTGTTTTCCATGAGTCTTCCAATCATGTTCCTCTGAGCAGTCTTAGGGAGGATTGTTGCTGTTTTATGGCTAAAAGGAGTAGACACCAAAAATTAATTGCATAATAATATCACACATTCCTAAGGGCTCTACTGCATGCAAAACACGTTCATCTACCTCTCATTTCATCCACATGACAACTTTATTTTTTTTTTTTTTTCGCATGACAACTTTATGAGGGAGGAAGGATGGGCTTGTCCTCATTTTAAAAATTGCTACTTATGCAAAGTCAAGGGGCAGAGTTCGTAGTAAGGCAAGGCCTTGGAGCTTTTCTTTTGACCCGGTCTCAGCATTATTTTTTTCCATGGTATAATACTGTGCATCTGTTGAACACATGCATAGGATTTGGAACTCACTTTTAAACCCCTAATTTTTCTTGGCCCTTTATTTAACCTACTTAACAACTATTAGTCTCCAGGTAGAATTTAAGCAACAGATCACAGGGGAACAAGCATGATACAGTGTTTGAGGTTTAGCTGAACAAACTTGAAATTAATTAATATTGTATTCTATGTAACTTGTACCTGGTATTGGTACCTTCTGCTAGTTTCGTCCTGTTTTGCAATTAGAATTGTTATAATTGCTTTATAAGTTGTGTTACTTGTTAAATTAAAGGTTTATTTTTATATTTCATGTTTAGTATCTGGAGTAGAGCAGAAAAATTATTATGCCTGTGTTCCCTTGGGACTCACTGGAAATTGTACAGTGACATCTTCTGGGATTTAGGCTGGTGAGTTATATTTTGCTTTTTCTGTTAACCAGTTGTATGAACATAATATTATACTGTGTTTTAAGGACTATATAAACCAGATGAACATGAAATGTCAGTATATTGTTGTAAATGTATATACTGTAGGTACGAAATTTTTAATGGTGAGAACTGAAATTATTATTACAAAATGCTAATGTTATTATATTTGAAATGTCTGATATTTTGATCAAATAGATTTTCCTTTTTTTTATTCTTATAAGATAAAGGAGGTTTCATAGAATAATATCTTGAAATATAGTAGTTAAGAGGTAGTTGCTCTGATTTCAGGAAAGCTTTAAAAAAATGTTCGTCTCCAAAGACTGGTGAAACAGCTTGCAGAAAGTTTGGTTATGTATCATCATGTAAAGAATGGCAAACCGGTGACTGAAGGGAGTGTCATTTTCAGGTAGTTGTTTAAAAGTTCACTGCGAGTGTGACGTTGGTTTTATCACACCGTGGATGTAAACTGTTAAAGACAGGCAGTGCTGTTGTTGTCTTTTACCAGCGTGTCTGTGTATCTGGACTGACATTGTTGTCCTTGTGGCTCCAAGTCCTTGAAGGGGAAAAATTTTAATAATTTTAGCATTTAAAAAATTATATTAGTGTGAGTTCATGCTTTGGTGTGTTATTCTGCTTGGTCAGGATCTTTGTAGGTCTTTGCTTTGAATCACATAGAGTGTTTATAAGCTTTTGAAAAAGCAGTTTCATAATAAGTGATTTCCAGGTTAGCAGTTAGTAGCAGAATGATTCAAAAGAATGATAGGGAAAAACAAACATCCTGTTTCATTTAATAGATACAATCTGTCAAATTTATGAAATGTATTTTAAGACATTGAAAAATGGAAGTATAACTAAAATTTTCAGGACATTTTGAGGGAAAGAGAAAAATTTTGAGGCAAAGAGCAAGAGGTTTGAGAACTATAAGTAGAAAGTACTTTTAGAGATTATTGAGTAAGAAATGATGTGACTGGATCATTAACGTCTTCCCCTGAAGTAAAGCACAAACAAGGAGCAATGAGTAGAAGCTACAGAAATGTGTGTTTGTGTTATCTCTGCCTCTCTCCATACAGTATACATATATGTGGACATATGTATGTATGCATAGTTATAGATGAACTTATATAGATAAACGGGGCTTCCCTGGTGGCTCAGATGGTAAAGAATTTGCCTACAATGTGGGAAATCCAAGTTCAGTTCCTGGGTTGGAAAGCTCCCCTGGAGAAGGAACTGACAGCCCACTCCAGTATGCTTGCCTGGAGAACCCCATGGACAGAGGAGCCTGGTGGGCTCCAGTCCATGGGGTCGCAGAGAGTTGCATGTGACTGAGCCCCGCCCCCCCACATAGATATAAATAAAAAGACATACTAACAGAGCTGCCAGAGGGGAAATGAACCAACCAGAGAGACAGTGAGTTACCTGTCATTGAAGATGTTCAAACATGGATTGAACAACTGAGTGCAGCAGACCCGGGTTCGATCCCTGGGTCGGGAAGAGCCCCTGGAGAAGGCAATGGCAACCCACTCCAGTATCCTTGCCTGGAGAATCCCGTGGACAGAGGCGCCTGGTGGGCTGCAGTTCATGGGGTCGCGAAGAGTCAGGCACGACTGAGCAACTAACATTTCACTTCTCTTCACTCAAAAAGATTCCTTCAGATTCTGGGATTACATGGTATCAGAAAGAATTTTTTTTTTTTTGGCTCTGCTGTACAGCTTGTGGGATTATAGTTCCCCAACCAGAGATTAAACCCTGACCCTTTGCATTGGAAGCAAGAAGTCTTAACCACTGGCCTTCCAGAATGATTTTAAAGAATTCTAAAATTTGGAGGGCCATCAGAACCTTGGTGGTGGTGGTGGAGTTCAGTCACTCAGTCATGTCTAACTTTTTGAGACCCCATGAACTGCAGCACACCAAGGTTCCCTGTCCTTCACCGTCTCCTAGAGCTTGTTCAGACTCATGTCCATCGAGTTGGTGATGCCATCCAACCATCTCATCCTCTGTCGATCCCTTCTCCTCCCGCCTTCAGTCTTTCCCAGCATCAGGGTCTTGTCCAGTGAGTTGGCTGTTCGCATCAGGTGGCCAGAGTATTGGAGTTTCAGCTTCGGCATCAATCCTTCCAATGACTATTCAAGGTTGATTTCCTTTAGGATTGACTGTATTTCCTTGCAGTCCAAGAGACTCTCGAGAGTGTTCTCCAACACCACAGTTCAAAAGCATCAATTCTTTGGTGCTCAGCCTTCTTTATGGTCTAACTCTCACATCCATACATGACTACTGGAAAAACCACAGCCTTGACTGTAGGGACCTTTGCCGGCAAAGTAATGTCTCTGCTGTGGTTTAACAGGCGTTTTTAAAGCTCAGGTTTATTGAAGTCTGATGTTTGTACTCACCCGTTAAGGGGTGCAGTTTGGTGATGTTGACAAGTGTATCCATTGTGCAGTGTCCGTGCGTATGATGCTTTCGTCCCCCCGGATTCCCCTGTGCTCGTCTGCAGTCCTCCCTCTCCTCCCAGCCCCAGCTCTTGGCAGCCATCGATTGATTTCTGTCCCAGTAGTTTCACCTTTTCCAGGATCTCATATAAATGGAATCACGCACTGTATAAGGTTCTCTTTCACTTAGTGTAATCCTGGTTTGCTCCTTCTCATTGCTGAGTGATATTCCATTTTATGCATGGGCCACAGTCTCTTAATCCATTGCCCTGTTGATGGATGTTGGGGTTGCTTCCAGTTTTGTGTGTGTGTGTGGGGCGGGGGGGGCTCATGAATGAAACTTATAAACATTCATGTTCAGGTCTTTGTGTGAACATATATTTTCATTTTTCTTAGGTAAATACCTACAAGTTAAGGCGGGTGGGTTGTTTTGTATGCATTTATTTAACTTTATAGGAAATTGTCAAGCTATGTTCTAAAGTGGCTGTACCTGACATAGGCTTCTAAGAGTCTAAAATAACTACAGCAAAGTATGTGCAGATGAAGAAACCCAGTTCCCATTCAGTGCAGATTTATTTATATGTTATATCCAGTTTTAACAAGTTTGGTTAGCAGATGTGTTTTTAGCACGCATTGGATTAGAAACAGTAAATTAGAAGGCCTTAGGGATAGGTTGTTAGCAGTTGGAAGCAGCCAAAAATGATATTCACTAATGTGACTATAATTACTGATGAGGAAAAAGAAAGCGGGAACTTACAGGAGAGAAATTCTTCTATCTGATAAGTTCTATCTGACAAGTTCCCAAACATGTCTGCATATCAGAATCACTTGAGGGATCTTTAAAAAATTTCGGAGCCCTGGCTATATCGCAGATGCTTTACATCACAGATCTGAGGTGGAGCACAGTCAGTGTTTATTGGTGCCCTTTGGCTGTGTCGGTGTGTAGACACATTTGAGAACCATGTGCTAGAGGCACAGTGTGATAACATTGAAGGAGCTGGGGGCTTGGAGCTGGGACACCTGGGCCTGCACTCCTGGCTCTGGGCAGGTCCCTGCCTAACAGCTTACGTGTCCTCTTCGCTGTAATCAGAGGTTCCACGTAGGTGAACTCCTAGATGATTCTGGCACTAAAACTAGATGGCTCTAGATACCACTGGACTGATGCTACTCATGCTTAGGAAGGACTCTTATTTCCCAAGGAATGACTATTCTGAGTGGTCATTTCAAGTACCTCTTGAAAAGGATTTTCAGTTCAGTCCAGTCACTCAATCGTGTCCGACTCTCTGCGACCCTATGGACTGCAGCACGCAAGGCCTCCCTGTCCATCACCAATTCCTGGAGTTTACTCAAACTCATGTTGGTGATGCCATCCAACCATCTCATCCTCTGTCATCCCCTTCTCCTCCTGCCTTTAATCATTCCCACCATCAGGGACTTTTCCAATGACTCAGTTCTTTGCATCAGGCGGCCAAAGGATTGGAGCTTCAGCTTCAGCATCAGTCCCTCTGATGAATATTCAGGACTGATATCCTTTATTCACATGGTATTTTTGTTCTGTATATTTAAACAGTTATGTTACATCTGTTTTGTCTTAAATAGTGTTGCTAAAAAACAGTTCAAGCATATTGGAGCAGTTTCTTGATTATTGAGGATGACTTTCTTTTTTGATAAGCCTGATTTTATAACACTCCTAGAATGCAGTACTTCTCAAAAAAGAATTCTTCTTCATATAGTAATTGTGAAACTTACCAGCTCTTTGGAGAGCGAGTCTAAGGAGCTGAGGCATCTCAGTTACATTTCCAAACTGCTGCTCCTGGTGCCAGATGTATAGGAAGCTCGGTGTCTCGGAGGGTGTTCAGAGCTGAGTGGCTGCCGTGCAGCCGCAGGCTTTGAATGGGCTGCCTTTTCTGCACCGGGTTTTCCTACGTGTGTGTCGTGCTTTGGACCTTTGCTTTAGTTTCAGCTGTATTTCACAAATGCATGCTGTACCCAGTGTTTTCAAAATGTACAGAATGTGCACTGTGTACCTTTTCCTAGTAAATAAAGTGTTTCCTTGTCTGACTGACTGACTAACTGAAAGTCACTCAGTCGTGTCTGACTCTTAGTGATGCCATGGACAGCTCATGGAATTTTTGAGGCCAGAATACTGGAGTGGGTAGCCTTTCCTTTCTCCAAGGGATCTCCCCAACCCAGGGATCGAGCCCAGGTCTCCTGCATTGCAGGCGGATTCTTCACCAGCTGAGCCACTAGAGAAGCCCAGGAAAACTGGAGTGGGTAGCCCATGCCTTCTCCAGGGGATCTGCGCGAGCCAGGAATTGAGCTGGAGTGTCCTGCGCTGCAGGCAGATTCCTTAGCAACTGAGCCATCAGGGAAACCCCGCTTCCTTGTCTAGCATTGTCTAGTTTTGAATCTCATATATTTCATTTTTTAAAATTTATATTTTTATTGAAGGATAATTGCTTTACAGAATTTTGTTATTTTCTGTCAAACCTCAACGTGAATCAGCCATATTTCAAAGGAGCAGAGTGGGGCCTGTGCACATTGCTAGG